GATTCAGCCAAGCATGATTCAGCCAGGCATGATTCAGCCAGGCATGATTCAGCCAGGCATGATTCAGCCAGGCATGATTCAGCCAGGCATGATATAGCCAGGCATGATTCAGCGAGGCATGCATGATTTAGCCAGGCATGATTCAGCCATGCATGATTCAGCCATGTATGATTCAGCCTGGCATGTTTCAGCCAGGCATGATATAGCCAGGCCTGATTCAGCCGGGCATGATTCAGCCAGGCAAGATTCAGCCAGGAATGATTCAGCCAGGCATGATTCAGCCAGGCATGATTCAGCCAAGCATGATTCAACCAGGCATGATTCAGCCAGGCATGATTTAGCCAGGCAAGATTCAGCCAGGCATAATTCAGCCAGGCATGATTCAGCCTGGCATGATTCAGCCAGGCATGATTCAGCCAGGCATGATTCAACCATGCATGATTCAGCCAGGCATGATTTAGCTAGGCATGATTCAGCAAGGCATGATTTAGGTAGGCATGATTCAGGCAGTAATGATTCAGCCAGTCATGATTCCACCTGGCATGATTCAGCAAGGCATGATTTAGTCAGGCTTGATTCAGCCAGGCATGATTCAGCCAGGCAAAATTCAGCCAGGCATGATTCAACCAGGCATAATTCAGCCAGGCATGATTCAGCCAGGCAAGATTCAGCCAGGCATGATTCAGCCAGGCATGATTCAGCCAGGCAAGATTCAGCCAGGCATGATTCAGCCAGGCATGATTCAGGCAGGAATGATTCAGCCAGTCATGATTCAACCTGGCATGATTTAGCCATGCATGATTCAGGCAGGCATGATTCAACCAGGCATGATTCAGCCAGCCATAATTCAGCCAGGCATGATTTAGCCAGGCATGATTCAACCAGGCATGATTCAGCCAGGCATGATTCAGTCAGGCATGATTCAGCCAGGCATGATTCAGCCAGGCATGATTCAGTCAGGCATGATTCAGACAGGCATGATTCAGCCAGGAATGATTCAGCCAGGCATGATTCAGCCAGGCATGATTCAGCCAGGCATGATTCAGCAAGGCATGATTCAGTCAGGCATGATTCAGACAGGCATGATTCAGCCTGGCATGATTCAGCCAGGCATGATTCAGCTGGTCATGATTCAACCTGGCATGCTTCAGCCATGTATGATTCAGCCAGGCATGATTCAGCCATGTATGATATAGCCAGAAATGATTCATCCAGAGCTGATGGAAGTTCTCTCAAGCTTAAGCACGCAGAGGAAGCGAAGCTGTGTCAACGAAGGTGGTAGTTGCTGCAGGGCATTACACCCAGACATATCCAGCTCACGGAGCCTGGATAATGCACCGATGCCATCGGGTATAGCAGCCATCTTGCGTGCATTGACCTTCAACGATGTCAGGTGTTGGAGCTGTGATACCGTTTCTGGCAGCTCCTTGAAGTGGCATATCTGCAGATTTCGCAGCTGCAGCAATGAGTAACCAATGCTTCCTGGAAGGGTCCGAATCCTTCCAACATTCCAGATAATCAAGTCTTGGAGCCGAGAAAGCGGGTCCAAGGAATTAGAAAGCTTGTCAAAATTGTCAGCCAACTCCAACTTCAAGTGCCTCAAACGGGACGGCAGTAATATCCGAGTGTGCGAATTTGTCTTGCCATTCTCGTCCCAAATCAGGACCTCAAGGGAGAGTGGCAATGACATAGGAAACTCACACAGCCCTTTGCACCCTGTTACCTGCAACCTCTTCAGCTCCCCAAGGCTCCTAGCCTTCGTGGCAGCACAGAAAGCCGGCCACAACATTCAACAATCAGGGTTGTGAGCCTCATGAGCCGTGTAATAGAACCTGGAATCTTTTTCAGAGCAAAACATTGACGAATGCAGAAATGCTGCAGGTTACTCAACTTGTACAGACCCTCCGGGAGCTTGACAACTGAGCACTTGGAAAGCTCAAAACTTGTTAAACAAACCAGCTGCGTGAATGAAGGGGGAAACTGCTCCCCGAAGCTGTGTAAGTGAAGAGTCTCGAGGTTACTGAGCCACCCAATCCTATCTGGAAGCACCATCTTAATATAGTGCTCGAGGCTCAGTGTCTTGAGAGATGTTAGACTCCAGAACTCTGCTGGCAGTCGCATGTGGCCACAGCAACGCAGCGACAGCGTCTCCAGAGAAGTTGCTTGGCAAAGGGATTCAGGTGGGTTTAAACCACGCAGGGTGTGCAGCACCAGTGACTTGAGGGAAGGAAGTGTCAGAGGTCCACTGGTGATCCCCGATCGATCCTAGGGAAGCTCTCCGAAGTCGTTAAGGCTGTGAAGCCGGATGCACCCAATGATGGACAAGCACTCCAATGCACTCAGGGAAGTGATGCTATCGGGGAGTTGGTCAAGCTCGGAACAATCCCGAATGGTCAGCTCACGCAGGCAAGGCAACAGCTCCCCGAAGTCATCAGGAAGGCGCCGGAGGTTGGCAGAATTGGTGATCACGAGCTGTTCTAGACGGATGCACGGTGATCCTGTAGAAAACATTGAAGCGAAATCAGGACTCGCGGACAGGAACTCGAGAGTCTTCAGATGAGGTACTTGAGCAGCTGGAAAAGTTGCAAATGATGAAGTATTCTTAAGTAGGCAAATTTCACTGGAGATCGAAAGTATGGAGAGCCTTGGGATGCGAGCGAGGCTTGACAGTTGCTGGCGCGTCAACTTCGGGACTGCAATATGGAGAGAAGTGAGAGACGATAGCGCTGCAAATCGATGAAGTGTCAAGGCTGAAACGTCGGTTAGAAGAACCGTGTGGATATGCTGCAGCTGAAAGAAAGAATCCGGCAACCTGGTATTCTCATGAAGGCAGTGAAGCGAAATCTCCTCCAGCTGAGTGCACTTCAAGAAAAAATCATCCAAGCCAGCTTGAGTAATTGGGTGCTCATCCTTGCTTCCTCCACACTCCGTTGGTGTGATCCTGCGACCCATGTGAAGAGCTTTCAGCTTAGGCCGTGACGAAGCAAGGCAAGAGAGGAAAGCGTTGTCCATCATCTCGACACTTCCGTCGCTCAGATGAAGATTCGCGAGGTTGTCGAGAAGCGCCACTGCGTTCGCCAAATCTTGACGAAATACGAATCGGTTTTCTTGGACTGAGAGACTAGTGACCTGACGCTTAAAGCTTTTGTATACATTTGAAAGAGGGAGGTTCAAAAGTTTTGAAATTTGAAAGATTGGTAACCCTATTACAGCCAGTTCACTCGCTCTACAAGGGAGGGATATCTCCCCGACTCCCAGCACTCACAGGTGATTCAAAACTTTTGGGTCGACAAAAGTATACGAAATCCAGCCTTTGTGAGATCTACGCCACTAGGCTCTACAGGCAGCATAATACGTAGCTAAGCACGCGACTCAACCGCCAGCGAAAATTACCCCCGTTTCTGACACAAACCTAGATGCGTGGGGCATTTTAGTAAAATTATAGGGATAAGCCAACTTCAGTTTCGCCCTCTCACGCGGCGATCCCGCCGGACCTTCCCTCACGGCCTCGCCTCGTCGTCCGTCGCGTCGTCTCAAACTGCCGAACACGCACGATCACAGTCGCGGCTCGATCGCATAGCCTCGCTACCACGTTTTCGCACTAGCCCCAGCACCCGCACTTGAGGTCGCGAACGACTGCAGAAACGGGAGCTCCCAACACCATCCCGCCTCCTCGTTTCCCCTTCTCGCCACCCCAATTCGCGTTCCCGCCTCCCCGTTTCCCCTTTCCGCTCCCCATTACCCCTTCCCGCCTCCCCGTTTCCCCTTCCCGCCTCCCTAATTCCCCTTCCCGCTCCCCATTACCCCTTTTCGCCTCTCCGTTTCCCCTTCCCGCCCCCCCATTACCCCTTCCCGCCTCCCCGTTTCCCCTTTCCTGCTCCCCATTACCCCTTCCTGCCTCCCCGTTTCCCCTTCCCGCCTCCCCAATTCCCCTTCCCGCCTCCCGTTTCCCCTTCCAGCTCCCCATTTCCCCTTCCCGCCGCCTCATTTCCCCTTCCCGCATTGCGGAAAAGGTTTTCACCCTAAGTTGCGGAAAATGGGGTTTTCTGCTGAAAAGCTTCCGAAATGCATACAGATGTATCCAGAAAGTTGCGATCGTGAAATCGCAACCTACCCCCACTTTGTACACTTTGGTATTCGCGCCAAGGGCACCGGAACGCGAATGTACAATATGTGTTCAGTTGGCGGGAAATCCGCGGCTCGACAATCGAAAATTATAATTCTTCGACATTGGGTGGTTCGGTAAAATACAACAGCGTATACAGTTGTGTAACCAGGCACACCGAGAGGCACACCACAATACACTTATACTTGTAGGGAATCTCATGCGGCGTCAAGACGGGTAGCGAGGTACGAAACCAGGATACCCTGCGTGCGATTTTCGCATATGAGATTATGTACACAACTGAATCTGCAACGTTCCACGTCACTGCCACACGTCCCCTCCTGGCCTCCCACCTCACCACCTAACAAATCTTTCCAGCCAATCGCTGCTGCGTGCATGAATCAAAATCAGCACTCAGCAACTCCCTCATCCACACACTTCCATTCGAAGTTGAAACCACACTTAGGATGTTTGGTCTCCATTTTGAATCATTTGCACACTCTTCGGACCCGTGTTATGCTCACTCGATCTACTCTTCTCACATGCTAGGTTTCTTGTTAGCTCGTAGTATGTCCATATCTATCGCCTTAGCTTGACCCTATTCCCTTCTGTCAAACATTATATATGTTACTGTTCTGTAGGCTATAGTGGGTTTAGCCAGGGCGCACAATATTCTAGCTTTTCCTACTTGTACTCTCGATCCTTTCTAGTCCAACACTTCTCATTCTCAACACCTTCTTGTTATTTGCCGCCCCTGCCAACCTCCTATTTCGTTTCCCATTTTAAACAGGTGCCATTTTCTTCACGCGGATAACGTTCTGCCCATCACTTTTAGCGAAATCGCCAGCGATGACGATTTCGTCTCGTCTTCTCACGGATGTTGGCAATCAGGCGCATGCCGGGCATGCGCTGTGACAAATGGGAGTACGAGAAAGAGAAGTACCGAGTAAGGTAAGTAGTTCTTGAGTAAATGTTGATTCCCACCGTGCATTGCGATTGCATCGATCTTTGTTGTATTCAATGCCTCTCCATTTCTTTGCGTTCGTTTGGTCTCCAAGTCGAGTCCTAATTTGCCTAACGCTCCTGCAGTTAATCTAAGTCGCTCCGAGTTTGTCTTTTCCACGGCAGTGGTATTTGTTCGTCCCCAATCTCCCTGATTTTAGCCGCGTAACCGCGACGAACCGCCCGACATTTTGATACGAGGCGCCACCTTCGGACAGCCGCAATGGAATGTGTGCGGAGGCAGCACCTCGACGCCGGACTCTTGCGGGGTAGCCGCTCACGGGAAGTCGCTGTGAAATCAAAAGCATTGAGAGTAAGAGTAAAATGTACGCAATTCGCACACCTCTTGTATCCCTTTCGCTCATGCACTATATCCATTTTGCGCGTTTTGTAAGTACATCTAACGGCAAACCCTAACGTTCACCTGTTGTTTGTTTTGTATCTGTTGAATGCCATGATTAACTGAGACTCACTAATGTAATTTTTTTTGCAAGCTATGTGCAGATTCGTCGCGCAAGTCGATATAACAGTCGCTAACTAGAGTAATGTGTTGGACTGGAATAGTTGCTTTCTTTCACTGTGTTCGTTGTAAGGCCACATAATTGTATGCCATTAATGTATGAACGATTTCTGTCCCCATAATATTAAGCAATTTTGTACCTGAACCAGAATTGAAGTTTATTACCCTGTGAACCGATTTGGTCGCAGGTTGCACGCACGATCGAAATCCAATAATATGCCGTTTTTGCATGCCTAAAACTCAACTCTGATTGGTCCACATGGCTAGCTGACGATCGCAGATCGATAGTGACACGTGGCAAAATATCTATGCTGACGTGGCAAAATATTTTCAGGAACGTACCGTCGTACGTACACATTGAACATGAAACTGTACTTGTGCCACGTGGCATGCCATGGAAGTGACATTGAAGTGACAACCAAGTATACGTTATGTTGCGCAAACGTATACGCTTTGCGTCGGAAATGTGTCTGAATTGTGTCCAGAAAGTTGCCAAAACTCAACCCAAATTTCCGATGCTTTTGACCTTGACTTGAAAATTGCGGGAGCAGGTATCTTAAAAGTTACTTTTCCGCAAGTTTTTGGAAGCCTTTCCGCAATCCCTTTTCCCGCTACCAATTCCTCCCCATTACCAATTCCCACCTCCCTGCTTCCCCTTCCCGCTCCCCATTACCCCTTCCCGCCTCCCCGTTTCCCCATCCCGCTCCCCATCTCCCCTTCCCGCCTCCCCATCACTCATTTCTTTGAACCATTTTCGTCCTTCCACCTCCTATGCATCTCCTTTCCCTACCTATGCATCAGCTATCCCTACCTATTCATCTCTCTTCCTTGCCTTCGCATCAACCCTCCATGCCTCGCAACCATCTCTCCCGCATCCCCTACTTGCCTTCGCCTACCCTTCCTTCCCCCGCCATACCCTTCCATCTCCAGCGATACTCTCCCATCCCATCCCCTTCAAACCCCTCTCATCCCATCCCCTTCAAACCCCTCTCATCCCATCCCCTTCAAACCCCTCTCATCCCATCCCCTTCAAACCCCTCTCATCCCATCCCCTTCAAACCCCTCTCATCCCATCCCCTTCAAACCCCTCTCATCCCATCCCCTTCAAACCCCTCTCATCCCATCCCCTTCAAACCCCTCTCATCCCATCCCCTTCAAACCCCTCTCATCCCATCCCCTTCAAACCCCTCTCATCCCATCCCCTTCAAACCCCTCTCATCCCATCCCCTTCAAACCCCTCTCATCCCATCCCCTTCAAACCCCTCTCATCCCATCCCCTTCAAACCCCTCTCATCCCATCCCCTTCAAACCCCTCTCATCCCATCCCCTTCAAACCCCTCTCATCCCATCCCCTTCAAACCCCTCTCATCCCATCCCCTTCAAACCCCTCTCATCCCATCCCCTTCAAACCCCTCTCATCCCATCCCCTTCAAACCCCTCTCATCCCATCCCCTTCAAACCCCTCTCATCCCATCCCCTTCAAACCCCTCTCATCCCATCCCCTTCAAACCCCTCTCATCCCATCCCCTTCAAACCCCTCTCATCCCATCCCCTTCAAACCCCTCTCATCCCATCCCCTTCAAACCCCTCTCATCCCATCCCCTTCAAACCCCTCTCATCCCATCCCCTTCAAGCCCCTCTCATCCCATCCCCTTCCAGCCCCTCTCATCCCATCCCCTTCCAGCCCCTCTCATCCCATCCCCTTCCAGCCCCTTCGATCCTCTTTCAGTCCCTCCCACCCCGGCAATAAATATCTAGAGGGTGTGTTGAATCGTATGCATTCCCCCTAATGCCCTCCTCCCTGTACTGCCGATCTCCTTATTTGCGTGACGTTCACACCCACTCCATCCCATCCTGGCCCTCCCGTACCCTTCTCATCGTTCTCTGCATCCTGAGCATCCTCCATTGACGTCCCCAGATTTTACTCTGGAAAATGGGTTTCCAAATAATTCTTTTTTATGTATTTAGTGTAATGGGAAATGAGAAATCGTTACACCAAACTTGTTGAAGTGCAGATACCTAAATGGACAATGAAACTCATAAAAGTTCCTAATATCGTACGGCTAAGCGAGCTCGACAACACACAATTGGAAGTGTATGCATGGGGATTGAATCACAGTTAGCAGCCGTCAACTAAGCAAGATGCCGCACGTGCTGTAGGGTTTGCTGTCGCATGCCTGGCATTGGTGTGTAGCAGAGGGGAGCGAGAGTGTGGGCCGCTTGGTGGACCTGCTAGTGAGAGGAGTGGGGGGATTGGGACGGAGGTTGTGGGGGTCTTGTGCCTGAGGAAGGAACACTGGCAGAGGCAGCAGGGGCAGCTCCGGCAATGGCAGCAGCAGTGACAGTAGGGGCAGGGACAGAAGAAGTAGGCGCAAAGAGAGAGGTGCACGAGTGGCCTGTGCCTGAGCCAAAAAAACAGGTACGGAGCAAGGAAAGGGTGGGCATGAGAGGGGTGGGGATGGGTGTGGGCATCGAAAGGTGGGCATGGAGATGGGAGAGCGTGGAAGGGAGAATGGAAAGGAGGGAGTGGGGGCCATCACGAACAATGGAACTGCAGAGATTTCTGCTCTAACGGGAGTTGGAGCTCTACGAAATGCTTCTCTACAGCCACGCAAACTTTGTTGTTCACTAAGGAGAAAAATTGGCTAAGTGTTGAGAAAGGCATAGATTTGGCACACACAGAAAATTCACTAGAAAGATTGAAAATATAATACAACAAGGGGTGAAATAGAAGCTACCCAACCAATGAACCATGCAGAGAACGTTCGCCCAAGAACGTTTACATAACTACTTTTAGCTGCGCTTTGCCAACTCAGCGTCGGCAGGTGAAAATTACAACATGTGCTTAGTAGGTAATTTTTACCTACCTAAAAGTAGTTGTTTTAGCTGTTCAGGTTGTTTTAAACAACTTCTGTAACGCACGTTTTCGTAGTTACGAAAACGTGCGTCAGGTTCATTCTGTGCATGTGGTTCAATTTCGCCCCAGATTGAACACCCCAGTTCCGCGCACTGTTCCCCGGGGTCAATTTCTCAATGTCCGCAATGTTCCGAAATTCCCACGCAAAAGTTCCGAAACGATCGCGTTTTCGCGTCGGAGAGGTTCGTCGGTCGAGAATGTGCTTCTCTGCAGAAATCCGTTTCTGCAGACGCGCCCTCCTCTGCGGAACGGTTTCTGCAGATGCGCACTCTTCTGCAGATGCGCACTCTTCTGCAGCAGAATCCGCTTTCTGATTCTCCGAACTCCCTCTGCAGAATTCCCTTCGGCGGAATTTCTCCTCCTCTGCAGAATTCGACGACCAACTTCTGCAGGTTCAGTGCCAGCTCAACACTCCCCTGCACTGATCATGCTTGGTCGTCGCAGAGAAAACATTGACCCTGTCAAACTTATATGCTATAGTCTGTGTAGACTGTAGTGGGGTAGACAATATGGGGTACAACACTTTTAGGTTTTCCTACTTGTACCCACCTGTTTCCTAGTGCATTCATTCCTCATTCTTTCACATGGTATAGAGCAGGTTCCCTAGTGGGAACGTTTCCTAGGGCCCACCGAAAATCGAAATTTTTTTTTCCCTACCCGGAGCGCGCTTCGCCCCTGCCCGAGTCGCGCCCCGTGTGCCTGACCTCCCGTCGCGTCCCCTGCCCTTAGCGGCCCGTCGCGCCCTCTTACGGCCCCTCGCGGCCCCTTAGCCGCTCCCTCGCGGCCCCTCTCACGGCCCCTCGCGGCCCCTTCGCGGCTCCCTCGCGGCCCCTCGCGGCCCCTCGCGGCCCCTCACACGGCCCCTCGAGGCCCCGCGGCCCCTTCTCAGCCGCCGCCGGCCCTGCCCCGGCCGTAGCAGCCGCCGCCGCCGCCGCCGACAGCAGCTGCCGCCGCCGCCGCTGACGGTAGCAGCCGCCGCCGCCCCTGCCCCGGCCGCAGCAGCCGCTGCCACCACTGACAGCAGCAGCCGCCGCTGCCGACAGCAGCAGCCGCCGCCGACACCAGCAGCCGCCGCCGCCGCCGCTGCCGTGTCAGCCGCCGCCGCCCCTGCCCGCCGCGGCACCCTCGCCCCTGGGGACCTTCGCGCGCCCCCCGCGATCCCGTTGCGTCGCCCTAGGGACCCGCGCGCGGCCCTCGCTATCCCGGTGCGCCACCCCGTGGGACCCGTGCGCCGCCCCCGTGGACCCGCGCGTCGCCCTGCGGCCCCCCCCTCCCCGCACACCTGAGTTCGCTTACCGCACACCCGCGTTCGCTTCCCGCACGCTTGTGCACGCTTCGCGCACACCTGAGCTCGCTTACCGCACACTCAGGGTATGGGGGTGGCGGGTGTGTGAGCCGTCCCCTGCTCCTCCTCCTCCTCCGTCTCCCACTGCTGCCGACGCCGCTGCTGCAGCTGCCCCTGGCCCCTGGAGCAGCCGCCCCTGCAGCAGCCGCCCCTGACCTCTGGAGCAGCAGTCCCTGCAGCAGCCACGTAGCCCTCGCCCTTCGGTGGTAGCGGCCTCACCATTGCCGCTGTCGTACTCCTGCCCTTCTTGCCACTGGTGAGCTCTGCTGTTACTACTGTTACTGCTGCTCTTGCTACTACTGCTCTTTCTACTGCTACTGCTGCTCCTGGCGTGGCCAGATGCAGCTCCAGCGCCGTCCGCATGAGTCCCTTGCCCCTCATCAGCTTCGTGAGTGGTACGCTAGTTGGGGTTGTAGGGGTGGCCGCACTGCTACTGCTGCTACTGCTGCCACTGCGGCTACCACTGCTCCTGCTGCCCCTGGCGGTGGCCAGATGCAGCTCCAGCGACGTCCGCGTGAGTCCCTCACGCCCCAGCAGCTTCGTGAGTGGTACGCTACTTGGGGTTGTCGGGGTGGCCGTAGTGAGAGTCGTTCTGGCGTGAGTAGTTCGGGAGCTGCCTGTCGTGGCCAGGTGCAGCTGCAGCGTAGTCCGCGCGCGGTCCTTTCGCCCCAGCAGCTTCGTGAGTGGTACGCTCAGCGTGGAGGGTCACGGAGTACTGCTCGCTGTCCGTACGTCATTCGCACTGGTGCTCGGACTGGTCAGCCTTGCGGGACGTTTGGTCACGCAGAGTCCCGCTGCTTCGCCCGTCTGAGCGACGCCTGGCGTACAGAGTTTGGCGACGCCGCTGAGCTCCCCGACTGGGTGGAGATGCTTAGGCAGAGGGTCGATATCTATGCTCTTGACTATGATGCTATCCTCACTTCCATGTATGCATTGCCTACTAGTGATGTGGGTGACTGTTACCTGTGTGTTCCACCTGACCCGGGCATTGAGGCTGCTGCTCTAGGTGCTGGTGAGGCTGCTGCTCTAGGTGCTAGTGCGTCTACTCCTCCAAGTGCTGGTGAGTCTGCTGCCCCAGGTGCTGGTGAGTCTGCTCTCTCAGGTACCACGTCGGCTCAGGTTTTACACACCTTCACCCTTGACTCGGGTGCTTCCCGCTCCTTCTTTCGAGACCGCCCACACCCACGCCGCTCAGTCGGCCGGTTGAAGTCTCCCTGGCAGACCCCTCTGGGGGTCCTGTCCTTGCACACTTCTCCACTGTCTTACCGTGTCCGGCGGCCCCTTCTGGCTCCCTGTCAGGTCTTTACCTCCCCTCGTTCTCTACGAACTTGGTGAGTGGTGCTGACCTACAGGATGGAGGGGTTGACCAGTTCACTCCTGCGCGTCAGCGAGTGACCCACTGTACGTGTGCTCGGACGGGCCGACACTTGGCCACGTTTACCCGTCAGCCGGGGTCGAGCCTGTACACACTGACTACTGAGTCTCCTCAGGTAGCTGCGTCGAGTCAGGTGTTTGCTGCAGCGTCCAGGTCTGGTCCTGAGTCTGCCCCCTGCTCGTGTCGTCTCCTGTCTCACCAGACTCTCCTCTGGCACCACCGCCTTGGTCACCCCTCCCTGCCTCGTCTCCGAGGCATGGCCTCTCGTTTCCTTGACCTGCCCCCACCTGCGTTCCCTGCGTCGAGGGGCGGCAGCGCGCCGCTCCTCACTCCTCCGAGTTTCCTCCGACAGAGGCTCCACTGCAGACGCTTCACATGGACGTGTGGGGCCCAGCCCGCGTCCGTGGACAGGGTCACGAGCGTTACTTCCTGCTGGTGGTTGACGACTACTCGCGTTACACCACAGTCTTCCCCTTGCGCAGCAAGGGAGAGGTCACTGAGGTGTTGATCGACTGGATCCGCGCAGCTCGTCTCCAGCTCAGAGAGAGTTTCGGCTCGGACTTTCCTGTCCTGCGTCTGCACTCCGACAGAGGAGGTGAGTTTTCCTCTGACCTTCTGCGAGCCTTCTGTCGTGCACAGGGCATCTGCCAGACGTTCACGCTTCCGGCCTCTCCACAGCAAAATGGGATTGCTGAGCGCCGCATTGGCATGGTCATGGACGTCGCTCGTACGTCCATGATCCATGCGGCTGCTCCCCATTTTCTGTGGCCGTTCGCGGTTCAGTACGCGGCGCATCAGATCAACCTTCAGCCCCGGGTCTCCTTGCCGGAGACCTCACCTACTCTGCGGTGGACGGGGAAGGTTGGCGATGCGTCTGCGTTTCGTGTCTGGGGATCTCGGGCTTTTGTCCGCGACTTGTCTGCGGACAAGCTGTCCCCCCGTGCTGTTCCCTGCGTCTTCCTTGGCTTCCCCCCTGACGCGCCTGGTTGGCAGTTTTACCACCCCACCTCGCGCCGTGTTCTCTCCTCCCACGACGTCACGTTTGACGAGTCGGTCCCCTTCTACCGTCTCTTCCCCTACCGCACTGCCCCGCTCCCCCCTCCGCCGCTCTTC